AGGGGGAAGAGATAGAGCAAAGCTGCTCTGAATGGGAGGAAGCTCCTTCCTGTCGGCGTGCCAGGAGGACAGAGGAACCCGGGAGCTGAGCGAGAAAAAGTGGGGCTCCTGCCCCCTCCTTTCCCCCCCTTTCTCTCGCGCTCTCTCTCAAAGGAGAGCAGAAGCGTGTGTGTAATGGCTTCTGCTCTCCAGCTAGCGCTGTCCTCCTCCAAGCAACCCCCTTCAGAAACCACCCCCCCCCGGAGACGCAGCCAGAGACCCCCACATCCCAACTTGAGGAGAGACGGTGGGGAGGGAGGGGTGAGGAGCCAAATACCTGGGTGATGGACCAGCTCGCAAGAGGGGAGGAGAAAAAAGGTGGGGGGGAGGGAGAGAAGGAAGGAGAGAAAGAAAGAAAGAGGTCACCCGATTGCCTGGGTCGTGCCAGCACGGAGCTTTTTCTCTCCTCTGTGTCTCTCCCGTTTCTGCTCCAAGTCCACGCACACAGGCACCATCCAGCCCTTGCACACACATGCACACACACACACGGGCACCCCCAAGCCCCGCTGCTACCTCACTGATCTCCCCATATCCCCCCCCCCTTGAATGCAACAACAAAAAATTAATTAGCCGCCTTCCTCCTCCTCCCACCACCACCAGCACCTCCTCCTCCTTCTCCTCCTCCATGCAAGAGAGACTTCTCTCTCAAACAAAACACCCCCCCTCTTTCTTTTTTTTCTCCCCTTCCTCCTTCCTCCCTTGGCTGAATGAATGGGTTTCCGAGGAAGACGGGGTGGTGGAAAGAGAGAGAGGGAGAGAGAGAGAGAAAGAAAGAGCGAAAGAAAGCCGAGAAGGAGAGAGGGAGATGATCCTGCCCATGCCAACCCGGAGATGGGTTTTCATGGCAAGAACTTACAGTGGTGTCCCGGAGCTACTGCCGCCGCCGCCGCCTCCTCTTCTCCTCCTCCTCTCTGCCCAGCTCTTCTTCTTGTTATTGTTGTGGAAGTTGTTTTGTGAGTCTCATGTGCTCCTTGCCAGGTCTCAGCAATGGAGGATCGCCATCTTTCCCTGCTTTTTTTCCCCCCCCTCTCTCTCCCTCTCTCTCTCTCCTTCACTGGCTTGCTGCAGCTGCAGATGACCTGAGATATCCGTCTCTCTCTCTCTCTCACTCACCCTCTGTGTCTCTCTCTGAATAATGAGCAACCAGAGGGAGAGAGAGAGAAAGAAGACAATCTTCCTCTCCTACCACACAAAACGCAAGAGCACCAGGGGGTGCAAGAAGCCTTTCTAACAACAACAACAACGTGTAGGGGAAGAGGAGGAAAAGAAAGAGAGAGAGAGAAAGAAAGAGGGGAAAGGCAAGGAAGAGGGAGGGAGGCAGAAAGAAAGAGCTCCAGGAGGCAGGGAGATGGAGCAGGAGAAGATGATGCTGATAGAGAAGGAGGTGGTGAAGATGGAGGAGCTGGAGAGGAGGGAAGGTGGTAACAAAGTTAAGGTTTGGGACATTGAGTCACTCACAGGCCAGGGAGGAGGAGGAGGAAGGGGGGGAAAGCGATCTGAAGAGCTTCCCTTTCCAAGCTGTTGCCTTCACAAAGCCTCCTGCACAGAAGCACTCATTAGCCCTGGCGCTGCCGGGGGAGCCCGCTCAGATGGATCTCGCCTGCTGGGTCATAGCTTTCTACCAGCCATGGCAAAACCCCGCTCCTGCAGGCAGATGTGCCCCCGAGCTGATCCCTCAGAAACATCTATCTAGAGGCTAATCTTCCCGGAGCAGGGTAAAGAACATAAATGGAGCTGGAGGTTGCAAAGTATAAAACCAGATCTACCACGTGGTTGGCGTTTAATCCCCCTTCCAGCTCGCGTTTGATGTGGAGACAAGAGGCTGGAATTGTCCATTTCTGGCACGTATTTTGAAGTCTTCTCCCAGAAAGAGAGACACGGCCGTTTCCGTTTTTTTGATTTCTCCCAAGCAGGTAGGAGAACAGAGAGCTTGTACGGCGGAGCACCAAGAGCACCTCCTAGATTTAGGAAATGTTTGGACGGGAGAAAAAACAACTCAACCCCACTTAAAATAACTTTTCCACCTTCCAACCCCAAGTTGTCTGCAGTTCTGCGTCTGCTCGCTTAAACCCTTGGGAAGTGAGAATGATCAGGTGTCACGATGTTGAAGGCATGAGAGCAAAAATGAAGCTTTTTCTACCCTGATTTTTGTTAACGTAGTGTCATTTTCCAAGAGTCCTTCGGAGCTACCTCTCTTTTTCTATATATATATATATATATATATATATATATTGCTTCTTTCCCATGCCAAGTCAAATACCTTCCAGGCTTTAGTCTGGGGCTGCGGGAGCGCAGGGGGGGCGGAGGTCTCGAAAAACCAACACCTAGTAGTCAGACAAAAAAGTAATCAGAGTTCAAGGACGTGCCTGATCCCTAGTCCTCTAGTTTGCATGGATGGGAGACGGACTAGAACCGGAGAGCTTCTTTCCATCGCGCCCGAGTTGGGGCTAACGGGAAGCTCCTGGCCGTGAGTTGAGGCATTTCTATGCGAGTGGTGAAGCTGAGATGATCTTCTTAAAGGGCGTCAAGATTTTAGGAGCGATGTAGGAGGCAGCAATTTGCAACTCTGCTCACTTTAGCTATCCCAGCCGATCAACTAAAGAACAAACGCAGGCATTGGGGGGGCCGGGGGGGAGTCGAAACCATGCCATGCACAAACCAAATATTTAAATCATAGAGTCTCCCATGATCTCATCCCTGATCCTGCTCGCCGTACAACGCACACGCACATACACACACGGAGGATCTCCCATTAAATCTCTCTCTCTCTCTGTCTCTTGAGCCGTGCAAGTTAACAGCTAAGACAGACATTTCCAACAAGTGCTGGAAATAGGAGGAGAGGAGATTCTGGACAGAAGGAGCAGTGTTGGACTTAGAGAATCCTTCTGGAAGGGGGGGGGGGAAATCCCGGGAATTCATACTTGCTCTCATGGCTTCATGCAGACAAACGAAGAGGACACCTCCTAAGAAGCTGATAAAAGAACATTAGGGAAGGGAGGGACTGTCTTTATGGCTGCCAGGATGTGCATGTGTTCTGCCTGCAATTTTCTATAAATCATCCCCTCGCATGAAGGCAACGCCAGGGCTGTGCAGAGCCTTTGACGTACCTTCAGCGCCGAAGCGGATAATTTACCTCTTTGTCTTTAATAGTAATTTAAGGGGGGGGGGGGGGAATCTGACTTTTTCTGTCAAGCTAGACTCCAGGAAAATAACAATCGTATTTCAAAATGAAGGTTCTTGTTAGGGCTGCACATCAAGTCTGAGATAAAATCTTCATTGAGATTGTCTCTTGGTTTCTCCTTTTTATTTAGAAGTGTGTGTCCCCCCTCCGACCTCCTTCTTGCCCTGCCAGCTAAATTAAAAAAAAAAATCCTTGCATTGAACTAGATTTTTTTCTGGAGTGAAGCACCCCAAGAGAGAGCAGGAGTCCTGTTCTTGTGACCTCTCTGCACAAAAGAGGGTGGTCCTGGGATGCGATGTACCAGAAGGATACCGCACTC